GGATTTTTGTGATGGGCGATGATACCTATGATTTTGCACCTTTGATTGCATGGATTGGCGTTCGCTTGTTTTTAGGGAATGTATATCCATGGATCTGCCATCCTGAAGTCGGTTTCATACAGTGTGCTATAAGTATTTTTGTATTCCTTTTTGCACTTCAGCAATCACAATGTACTTAGGTACATCTGTGAATGCGGTCTTGAGCCTTCACCTTCAGCTGAGGCTGAGAACGTCAACCGAATAGGTCAAAGGGTGATGGTCGACAATGGGTCACGCCAGTAGGGCTCTTACTAAGCCGCCCAGGAAGTACATGGTCGTGCGAGGCTCTTTTATATCACGTACGCATGGCTGTGGTCAGACAGAGGGGTCAGTCGGAGAAGGCCGATTATATTTGATACGTGTACATTGATTCGGCTCAAAAAGAATGGCGCGCTATTCGGTCAGTTTCACAACGAGGAGTCGACATTTTACAGTGTGAATAGCTATCTCCTTGCGTATCTTCCTCTTACTTGATACGCTAATCTTGTTGTTAGGCTCTTTGTACATCAGTCGAGTGTAGGTCAGGCTGTACTAGGTACGGCGCTATCCAACTGCTCCCACTGCCCGAATTCACCCCTACGTGCATTGGTATATGAGAGCATTTGCGAAGATTTTCGTGGATGATTGTAGCGCACGAGAATGCTCTATGTCGGCAGCCTAGGCCAAAACTCTAGAACATGACCGTGGCTGCTCTCACTGTGGTGGCTGTGTGTGTGCTGATGGAATGTTCGCTACGTTGGTGCTGACTGCTTACCTCCATCTGGGGCTGAAGACCTCGCGTTACACAGCGATAACCTTGCAATACCAGATCTCGCCACCTTAACGTTATGTATACGCAGCAAGATGATCTCCATAAGCGCTGACGAAGCTTGGGGACACCGCACTCCATACCAGGGAGGGCGGCCTGTAACCCCGGGGCGCCTTAAATGGTATGTCACAACTACAAGGTGCGAACGCGCACATTCTGATCCGCTTACTGGACACAACGACAGCTGCCTGGCATGGTTGCCGGGAAGAACCAGTCCTCACCCGACAGCCCTTCCGCATCTGTGAGTGCCTATGGTATCTGTGCTCCAGTTTCGTTGGCTCGCTCGTAAGAGCGTGGTGCTTCCCCATTCAGCCACTGGGTCTCCTGAGGTGGAGCAGTATATAATACCCAGAATGGCCCATATGTCTCTGTACAAGAACAACTTGATTCCCTAGATACTTACAAATCTAAACGCACAATGGAGTCCTCTCCAATATCATACACACAGTTCCTGATCGTCGTCGGTGTTGGTGTCGCTCTTTACCTTCTCCCAATAGCCCTCAGGCCCAGACCAATACCGGGTATACCCTACAACAAAGATGCCGCCAAGAGCATCTGGGGCGACATACCTACCATGATGTCCAACTTCAGCAAGACGAAAGAGGTAACCGACTGGATGCAAAAGCATTTCGTGAATCTCGACAGCCCAATTATCCAGCTCTTCATCAGCCCATTTGGCGGGCCCACAATCTTCATTGCCGACTTTCGAGAAAGTCAAGATATCATGATGCGGAGAGGGAAGGAGTTCGACCGCTCCAACAGTTTCAAAGATACCTTCTCCGGCCTGCTGCCGTACCATCACATCATCATGGACACGGATGAGAAGCTGAAGAAGCAGAAGCGATTCCTGGCGGACTCTATGCTACCATCATTCCTCAACGAGGTCGCCGCGCCTCATCTCCATGAAGCCATGTCCGAGCTGGTAGAATTATGGCGGCTGAAAACCACGAAGGGACAGGGTCACCCGTTCGTAGCAAGCCGCGACCTTCTCAACATGGCGCTGGATGCCATTTGGGCCGTGACGGTGGGTTCCAAGATCGGAGCAACCAGGTCGCAAATCGACTTGCTAGCGTCATCGCCAGCAGTATCTGTGCCGCAGAACACAGACCTACCTGTCGAATTCCCGTCCGCCCCGGACGCGTCAGGCGCCAAAACGCTGATGACTCTGACGGACAGTCTCGGAGTGGCCTTCACGTCGCCTTCTCCACGGATCCACCACTGGTTCTACAGAAAGCTGCCGTTCATGAGGGCTGCACTGGCGGAAAAAGACCGCATGATAAGCGATATGCTGGAGAAGTCGAAGGCCAGACTGTTGGATAACAAAGGCGGTGACAAGACTGAGCGGTGCGCGTTAGACAACATGCTTCTCAGGGAGGATGCGGTGGCTAAGAAGGAGGGTCGAAAACCCGAGTACATTCCCCCCTCCCTCTATTGACAGTCAATATCTTGTCCAAGTCTCTCACTGACGTCCTCCAGATACGACACCCCCGCCGCGAAAGACGAACTCTTCGGCTTCCTAATCGCCGGCCACGAAACCACCTCCACCACCCTCTCCTGGGGCGTCAAGTTCCTAACCACGCACCAAGCCGCCCAGTCCTCTCTCCGGCAAGCCCTCCACGCCGCCTTCCCAGACGCGCTTGCCCACCACCGCAACCCGACCGCCCTCGAGATCGCAAAGACCAATATCCCCTATCTGGACGCGACGATAGAGGAGACTCTGCGCTGCGGCTGCACGGCGCCGATCCAGACGCGACGGGCGACGGTCGACACTCAGGTCCTCGGGTATCCGATCAAGAGGGGCACGGATGTGTGGATGATGGTGAACGGGGCCGACTTTACGGCGCCTGCGCTCAGTGTCGAGGAAAAGAGACGCAGTCAGAGTTCGCGGGAATCGAAGGACCGCCGCGTTTGGGACGCAAGCGACGTCGCCGTTTTCAAGCCGGAGAGATGGCTGGTCCAGAATGAGAAGGGAGAGGTTGAGTTTGACTCTAGAGCTGGGCCGAACCTTCCGTTTGGGCTGGGACCTAGGGGCTGCTTTGGTGAGTTGGGACCTAATGTGCTGCTGCCCATGTAGTGGTGGTGGTGGGATTGAAAGTCCATGCTAATGATGTGCCGCGTAGGGAGGAAGCTGGCGCTGCTTGAAATGCGTATAGTTTTGACACTCACGCTCTGGAACTTCGAGTTGCTGGAGACGCCGGAGAAGCTGAGTGGCTATGCTGCTGTCAATGTGCTTACGTATCAACCGCAGCAGTGCTACATCCGCTCGAAGCCGATCCGGAGTGAGTGAGAAGGGGTAGCACGCAGCAGTCGGGGTCGGAAGAGAAGTCGACTCCGTCGATGGAAAGAGATCTTCCTTTTGCAGGTGATATTGGGACCTTGCGTTTGCTCGAGAGTAACTTAGTGGGACAGGAAGTGGCAGTGGCACAGACATGCGTTGGACGCTCTTAGACTTCTCCCAGTCCATCACTGGAAGAGCAAAAGAAAGTTGCACCGTCGATACCGCGTTCTTCGCAAGGTCATACAGGTCACACTACAACTTACTACGTTCCTCTCGACTTGGAGTAATCCCGTTGAACCATCCGCAACCATATTTCGAGTCGTAATACCAGCCATCGCTGCCGTAACTTCGACCTTGGGTACATATTTCGGCTCGGTCCTAGTTCCACTACATTCGTCAGTCGATCATCGAGACCAAACAAATTGACCCCTACAGACTTCACAATCTGCCAAAACAAGTAAGATCGAGTCTATTGGTACGCGTTGCTTAATCACACACAAGAAGCATCCAACATCCTTATCTATTGACCCATATCGAACAACAAGAACTCAGCAGGCTTGTCGCCAACACTCTCCAACTCAATCTTTCCCGGCCCCTTCGCACCCCTCACAAACGCACCATCACCCTCGCCAAGCTCGACATTCCCAATCCTGATCCTCGCCCCACCACTCTTCGGCTGCGTCCTGCCTCCCATAACAACATGCAGATAAACATTCCTCTCCCCCTCCTTCACCAACTCATGCGTAACCGTCTTCCCCGGGCTCAGGATACTAGCACTCATACTCAAATCCGCATGCATCGGGATCGGATCCTCCTCCCCCTCCCCACCACCATGCCTCTCCACACTCTCCATAATCCTCACCAGCCTATCCCTCTTACTCTCATCACTCCACTTCCTCGTCTTATAACTCGGCTTCAAGCCCCCAACATCCGGCTTGGCCCAAATCTGCAAAAAATGCACGTCCTCGCCCTCATTGCGGTTATACTCGCTGTGTCTGATCCCCGTGCCCGCGCTGGTAAACTGGACCTCGCCCCTGCGCAGATTCTCCAGGTTGCCCATGCTGTCTTTGTGCTCGAGCTCGCCGGAGACAATGTACGACCAGATGAGGAACTCGGCGTGCGAGTGCGTGCCGAAGCCGGTGCCGCGCTCGACCCGGTCTTCGTTGATGACGCGCAGGGGCCCGAAGGAGGTGTGCGAGGGGTCGTAGTAGGAGGCGAAGGAGAAGGTGTGGTAGGTGTAGAGCCAGCCGTGGTCGGCGTGGCCGCGCTGGTTCCAGGGCCGTTTGGTGATTTTGAGGGATTGGGCGGTGCTGCCGTTTGTGGTTGCCGTTGTCGTCGCCATTGTGCGGCGGGCCAGGGGGGCCGAGGAGGACGGGAAGAGTTTGGGGAGGGTGGTGCGCAGGGGTGTCAGGAACGCCAGGGTGAGTGCTAGGATTGCTACGGCGAGTGCGAGGGTTTTGAAGGAGATGGGTGGTGGTTGTGCTGGCTGGGATGCTGGAGTCGATGGGGAAGACATGCGAAGGTAAAGGAATTGAGGCGAGGAAAGGGAAACGTTTCGGTACTTATATTGGATGGGGTTCTAGAGCTCTATACACTTCGATCCGGCCGCCAAGTAGTGTTTGTAGAGCGTTTGTCATGCTTAGAGATCGAAGTCCGCGGCTTAGAATCGCGGGTCGAGATCCGTGGTGCTGTCATGGCTGCTTCAAGCTTGGCGGAAACATGACTCGCACGACTCCATATGTTACCCGGACATGTACCACGCGAGATCAAACGAGTGTCTACTACCGTGCAGACTCAGGTACATAAAGCTGCTGTCATTGGGCCGCATTGCACAGTCTCGTTATATAACAACACGGAAAGAACAAAAAGTAATGATGATGAGGGTGGGATTCGAACCCACGCAGCTTGCGCTACGAGAATACTACCTCTGTTGAGTAAGAGGCAAGCTTGAGCTTGAGTCACGCGCCATAACCACTCGGCCACCTCACCAGGTTGCAAAATAGTCATTGGAAAGTCGCGATCCGGCTGTCTATTACGGTTTGACGTTGTCTGAAGGGAGGGAGATGGAAATGCGAGCTTGGGACAAGAGTATCATCCGTCGTCTATTGCATGTTACCGTAGTTAAAACCTCCGTCGCCATTGTTCGGCCTCGAGGTGGTCCAGGCTATGCTACCCGAGTCTCACACCCTTCCATCACTATGCTGAGGGGGGTTCACAGCTCCTCGCTGCCCAGACCTAGCAGATCCAGCCCCCATCAACAGTGTAGATAGCCCCCGTAGTGAAGGAAGCATCATCACTCAGCAGGAACGCAATGAGTTTCGCGACCTCCTCGGGGTTACCGAACCTACCCAACGGCTTCGAAGCAGCCATGTCAAGTAAGGCTTCCTTGCCGAGTACCTCCGTGTTGCGCTCCAGCATTGGCGTGTCAATCATGCCTCTGTCCTCTAGTCAGCCAACACATACATTCAGTGAGATAGACATAGCGATAGATCCAGTCTTACGGCGCAACAGCATTGACCCTAACTCCCCTCTTCCCCTCCTCCATCGCCGCCGCCCTCGTCAGTCCAACAACCGCATGCTTGGACGCGCAATACGCAGCCTGCATAGGGTACCCAGCCAGTCCGGCAACACTCGCCATATTGACAACCGCACCGCCCGTCTTCAGCACGCGCAACTCCTCCTTCATGCAGTGCATGACGCCCGTGACGTTGGTGCCTATAATCAGCTCCCAGTCCTGTTCAGCTGTATCGCGTAGCTCGACCCATTTCTTGCCGCCTGCGAAGACGCCAGCGATATTGGCGGCGCCGTCGAGTCGGCCGTAATGGGCGATTGTGGACTCGATCCAGGCGTGCACGGAGGTGAGATCGCGGACGTCGACGTGGGAAGTGAAGGGGGCTTGAGAGGTGCTGGAGTGAGATTTGACGGCTGTGGAGGCGGCGTGAAGGGCGTCTTTGTCGATGTCTGCGAGGGAGAGGAGACAGCCGCGTGAGGCGAGCAGTTTGGCGAGAGCGAGTCCAATGCCGCTGGCGGCGCCGGTGATGGCGATGACTTTGCTTTCCATTGTCGGACTCTAGGTTCTCTGTATGATTGTGCAAGTTGTAAATGAAAAACGAACAAGGTGGTGAGGAAAGGACCGAGGTTGAGAAGAACGGGGAAAGAAATCGAAGTGAATGAAATTCAAGATCATGTGTGAAGCAGATCACATGTACATAAATCTCACCTCAGAGAACTCTGAATCTACTATAACACTTACCTTCTCTACTGATGATCGCCGCAAGAGACCTTGTCTTGTCCTCTGTAGGCGATGGACTGAAGGAGTTATCAGAAACCCTAAAGGGTGTGTTCTGACATGACCCATTGTAAGGGGGCAAGCGCGCAGCTCTAGCTGTAGAATATCCCAGTTTTTCCACGAGACAGCGAAATAGCGATCCTGCCTACGGTCATAGTATAATACCATTGGATTCTCACCCGCAGACAGAAACAGATTCCCGCTTGGCTTGACAAAGTTTCGAAAGACGGCAAGTAGCGAGCCGCAGATCCATGCCCACCTGCAGGATAGGGATGGTAGACACACGTAGACTGTCCTGCTTTATGTAGATACTCGTTACACAGAGACTCGGCGCGAACGTTTGTGGCTGCGGATTCGTTAATATCAAAACAATGTGCGCATGGCCAGCTGAACGACTTCAAAACGTCCGCCATGGTGTCGCATGCGTCGGGGTCCAGTGAACGCCCAATTCGATGCTTTGAGCGAAGGGGAGCAGCCACAACCGAGGGATGATGGACGATCTAAAGCCTAGGCGTGATGTGGCATAGCATAGCGGGAGGCGATTCGCTGGTCCCTGAACAGCCGGCTGAGCTTTAGCTTCACAGAGGTGATGGTGTGCCCATCTCACGCTGCACGCATAGACGAGCGTAGTCCAAGCGGTGGTAGGGATATCATGATCAGCTGGCAGATCTTCGTGTGTGATAGAGGGATGTTCATGAACGTTGTTATGCACGTTTAATGAAGGACAAACGGCTTTGGAGATACCGGCCCAGACATGCGGGAGGCGCTTGCGACAGCAGCTTCCACCCATGTACAAGACTACAAGTATTAGGTACGGTAGGCTTGGCGCGAGGTACGACGATGCATGTACATATTTTCCCTCTTCCTATTTCTGTAGCACCCGAGCGCCGACTGGTCCCTGTTTCAGCCTGGGTCGCCCCCGTGTTTGTATCTCGGGAGCTCGAAGGCAATCTGACGAGTCGGCCACGTTTTCGCATCGCCTTGCCATCGCACAGATGATGCTGAAACTCGGTGGGTGATGCGGAGAGCGGGAAATCTATGCTACCTGCAGTGTGTGGGCCTGTGACATGCGATTTGTGGTGGAATCGTTTCACAAATACAAAACCGAAGATCCGCACGGGTAGAAAGCTAGCGGCGCTGGGCTTGTAGCGGAGAGTTTGCGAGAGATCAACCTTGCGCGGCTTGGACCCACCAACCCGAGCGTGAAACCGTTCCCCCCAAGCTGGTCCGGCCAACTTCAACTGTTGTCGTGTCGTACATCCATCGTTTATCCCTTCACCAATCTGCATGCGGGAAGGGGATTGTACGTGTCGCTGTCGATATACAGAGGGGGAATTGAATAGCAGTCTCGACATCGCATGATACGGAGCTGAACAGCTATCGCGCCTGGCTGTCACTGCCACCACCCTAGCAAGTGTCTGCTAGAGGTCCCTCCCACACCGCGCTTCACGACAGCGCTGACCCATCATCCACCATCGCAACCCTTGCGACCACCATTGACCGCACGTCTATCCTTACGAACCTCCTTCTTCAACCATGTCTGTCGTCGAGTCGCCCGGCGCATTCCCCGAGTCTCCGCTGGACGACAACGATGTGGTATACCCCTGCAAGGGCTGTGGAGAGGTACTATATATGGGATGACAGGATAAGGCGGCCCGAAGCTGACGCAGGTGTGAATGCAGATTCTAGAGGAGGGCAAGGCTTTCGAATTAGGTATGACTGTCTGTTGCTTGCGGCTCGCCCAAACAAACAATACACCAGCTTGAGCCACACGATCCAAACATGGGGCATGTCACTGATAATCTCCGTACAGCTGGCAATCGATGGCATATAGATTGTTTCCGATGCAACACCTGCGGCACACTCCTCGACTCCGACGCCAACCTCCTCCTCCTCGGCGACGGCTCCCTTATTTGTAACAACTGCACATACAGCTGCAACGCATGCGGCAACAAGATCGAAGACCTCGCAATCCTCACCGGCGATCAAGCATTTTGCGCCGCCTGTTTCCGATGTCGCAACTGCAAGCGCAAGATTGAAAACTTGCGATATGCGCGGACGAGCCAGGGCATATTCTGTATGAGCTGTCACGAGAGCTTGATGGCAAGGAGACGGAAAAAGGCGAAGGCTACGCGTCAAGCAAGTGCAGCAGCAAACGGCACGGCGCCCATAGTTCTGGACAAGAGTTTGCCTGCTTTACCGCCAAACGCCGTGTCGCAAAGCGCGCTCAGTGATATTACAACCCCAACATCAGACTACACCGAGACACCGACAGAGCGGTCGCCTAGACCGGTACAAAGAGTGACGAGGAAAGAGGTCCCGAGCGCAGAGCCCAAGCGGGATGTATCGCCTATTTCAGATGACAGTACGAACCGCCCATCCCAGGGAGACGGCGTTTCGCTTTTGACTGACTCGCGCACAGATAATCTCACCCTCCCAGCAAGCACATACAGACAGGAGCGGCTGTCAAGCGTTTCGTCGATATCGGCTTCCGAAGGAGGTGATGACGATCGCGACTTCCTCCCCATGGCCTTCGACCCGAACCCCGCTCCTGGACCGCCTCCCATCTCTCAACGGAGATTGCAGCAGATGCAAGACCCCAGCGCATCCAAAGGAACGGAACATCAAAAATCGCGAGACTACTTTACTGGCCGGACTCCTTCAAGAACGCATCGGGACTTGCTCCGAGAGCGTCCTTCCTCCTCGAGATCAGGGTCTTTGGAAAGGGATGCTTCACTACCGCCCTCGAAGGGGTCGAGTCCACACATTGCGTATCAAGAGAAGGGCCGTCAACCGTCAAGGAAGAGGGAGACATCAGCGAACAGCACCCCGGCGTCGGGCTCGGCGCTTGCCTCGCCTAACCCTAATGTTGGCTCGGGCACTGAGAGGTTGGAGAGGCCGCGTCCTCAGCACCTCAACAGTGCATCCTACACCCTGGCGCCTAGTGAGAACTTCAAGTTACAAGAAGTGCCGGAGTCGAGAAAGTCGGGAAGACGATCGAACGGTCGTTCACCAAATCTGCATTCGCCTATGCAAACACCACCACAAGCGCAAGAGGAGTTTAGGTCTGTATCGCCCATTTCTGTTGATACACCAAACTCTGGTATCAATCCTTTCGATGATCCGAAGCTTCGTGAGGCGAATGGTTCAGCTGCATTAGCTGCGAAGACATTCGACAGGCCTGCGCGGGGCGACTCGCTTGCGGCTTCCGTCTTGAAGAATACTCCTGCCCAAACCAGGTACAGCCCAGAATCCACCACACCCGCACAACGATCGCCGGCGCCGGCAAACCATGAACGGGGAGCCTCATCATCGTCAGTACCTTCGTTTGCGGATGCTCCACCGTTCCAGCAACGCGATAGCACTCGCTCAATACCAAGACCAATGGAATCTCCACTTAGGAATAGCGTCGATGTTATTGGACCACCACCTCGGAACTCAAGTCGTCCTTCTGCGCCAAGTAAGTCGGTCGGAGACAATGCCGACTTCATCGCTCCTAGAGTACCACCACCTCCACCCCCTGCGGAGAGGCAGAGAAGGAACGAGTCGGTAACATCATTTCAGAGTGACAATCACTCTATTGACATACAGTTTTCGCCCACACGTGGTGGGCTGCCGAAGCATAATGGTGGTGGCGATTTCTCTATGGAGGAGGAGATGCAGCGTATCTTGCGTGGAGGCGACGACCGCAAGAATCAAG